GGTTTCGGGTTTAGGGTTTAGTTTTCGAAATCAGGGTCCGCTTTCGGGTCCTTATTATCAGGGTGCCTTACTGTATTGGGGAAATGAAAAGGGTCTTTATTGTAAGGCTTCTGTACTACATTGGGGACCTAAAAGGGGTTCTGATTATAAAAGGGCCGTGCTATACTGGGGACCTAAAAAGGGTCCTTATTATATAAACCCCTAAACTCCTAAACCTGGACCCCGACCGGGTTGGGGATGTGGTTCGGGTGGGCTCTGAGGTCAAGCCGTCTGCCACGATTCAGGGTTTAGGGTTGCTGGTTGATCCGAACCAACCAAAAGCATGTGCCGGATACCTTGTCAGCACACGGAGATTTCTGAAAATGAGGGTCCTGACCCACCCCACAAACCCTGACACCAGGGCCCAAAAACGCAAGCACCAAGCCTTCGACCCTGAGCCCGAAACACTTCAACCCTTACCTGTAGCTCCGCACCCTACGATACACCAGGTTATGACCCCTTCACTATTTACATTTCCTGACGAGAAATTGGAGCCACCGGTAGTCCAGAGCTCCCTATGCAAGCCTCGTGGAGGAAGGTAAACCGCCTGATTTAGGTTTTGACGTCTTCCAGGTGTTGGGTTAAAACCCTAAACCCTATAAACCCTATAAACCCTATAAACCCTATAAACCCTATAAACCCTAAACCCTAAACCCTAAACCCTAAACCCTGAACCCTAAACCCTAAACCCTAAACCCCCTACGGCTTTAGGGTTTGAAGGTTTAGGCTGGGACAAGTTGGGTTGAGGCTTCAGGGTTTCGGCCGCAATCGAGTCTCAGGGCTGGGGGCATTGCAGCTTTAATATCAAGCTTAGGGTTGAGGGGTTAGGGTTTAGGGTTTAGGATTTAGGATTTAGGGCTTAGGGCTGAGGGTTTAGGGTTTAGGATTTAGGCTTAGGGTTGAGGGTTTAGGGCTTAGGGCTTAGGGTTTAGGGTTCAGGGTTCAGGGCTTAGGGCTTAGGGTTTTAAAAGGACTTAGCAAGAGTCCACACACCTCACCCAGCATGGAGTCTTGAGATGAAGGGCAAAAGTCAGTTTTGTCTAAGGTTCTGGTGACTTCTAAACCCTAAAGCCCTAAACCCTAAACCCTATGATCCCTATAAACCCTAAACCCTAAGCCCTAAACCTAAACCGTGCGGCTCAGGGTTTAGGGTTTAGGGCAGTCTAGGGTTTAGGGTTGAGGGTATGCTTGAAGGGTTGACGTCTCTGGAGTTTGGGGCCAGGGTTTAGGGTTTAGGGTTTAGGGTTTAGGGTTTAGGGTTTTGGGCATGATGGGTGAAGTGCTGAGGGTGTGGGGCTTCCGGCTTCGTGCTTTAAGTTTAAGTTTAGGGGTACCCATAGGCCCGATAGTAGTTCCTTTTGGGGATTACCTCATAGGATTCTAAATACGAACCCCAAAAAGGAACTACTCTGGGGCCTATGGGTAGGCTATTCTTCCCAAACTTATTTAAGCATTCTTCGTCGGGAGCTTTGGATGCTTTGATCGTCAGACCCCTGTCGAGAGCTGTCGGGGTAGGGAGCAAAGTCAAAAGGGCCCAGGGTCTAAACGAACCCTAAACCCTAAACCCTAAACCCTGAACCCTGAACCCTGAACCCTAAACCCTAAACCCTAAACCCTAAACCCTAAACCCTAAACCCTAAACCCTAATTAACATGTCAGCCTGCAAACGAAGGAAGGCTGGGTCAACGAGAGGGCTTCGGGTTTCTCCTTGGCTTTGGGGTTTTGGGGCTTTCTTGTTATACCCATAGGCCCCATAGTAGTTCCTTTTTGGGGGTTCATATTTAGAATCCCAGAAGGTAATCCCAAAAAGGAACTACTATGGGGCCTATGGGTAGGGCCAAACCTGCAGTGAGCTGCAACGCTGCGGGAGCAGAAAAGCAGAAACTTCGAGTCTTCAAAGATGGGTTCCAGGCCCAAGGCTCAGGCCTGGATGGTTCCAGGATTTAGGGTTTAGGGTTTAGGCACAGAGGTTCTAGAGGTTCTAAAAGGGTCTCTTCTGGTTACATAATATAAGGCTTTTAGGTGTTCGGCTGCATATTTGCATTGGCATAGGAACCGATGTACCCACATGGCACATATTTCCCCCATGCAGTTATATAGGAACCTGCGCAAGGCCTACGCAGACTTGCATACTACTTATAAGTAGGCCTAAACCCTAAACCCTAAACCCTAAACCCTAAACCCTAAACCCTTAAGTAATCAGAATTGACCCTGAAGGGCTTTTTGAAGGAACCCTCCTGGGCTCTTCAAAGGAATCCTTAAAGGCTCTTGAAAGGAGCCCTTACTAAAGGAGCCCTTAAAGGAACCCAGGGTGTCGGTCTTTACGACTGAGATCTCGAAACTAAAAGGGTTTAGGGTTTAGGGTTTAGGGTTTAGGGTTTAGGGTGTAGGGTCTGGGCTTAGTTCTGATGCAGCTCTAGTCTCTCGAGCTTTAATTCTAAACCCTAAACCCTAAACCCCAAACCCTAAACCCTAAACCCTTCGCAGGGTTTAGGGTTCCTGTTAAACCTCAAACCCCAAGTTGTGCTCAAGTCTCTGGAACTCGTCTCCCGGAGCCCCAAACCCCCCGAAACTGTGCATGAAATAAGCGATTTCCTGAAGCCCTTGCGAACAGCGGTTTAGGGTTTAGGGTTTAGGGTTTAGGGTTTAGGGTTTAGGGTTTAGGGAGCTATAAGACTTATACATCCTGCCCAAAGAAGGAGGCCCTCGGAAACCGCTTGTGAAGCCCTTCACGAACCGCTTCCCTGCTACCAAGTCACTAACGGCACATCTTTTAAACCCTCTGAAACCCTCATTGCAACCTGCCAGAACATCACTCAGTCCTACGTGAGATCTCCAGGTTTCTTAAACCCTAAACCCTAAACCCCTAAACCCTAACCCCTAAACCCTCAAACCCTAAACCCCTAAACCCTAAACCCAAACCCCCTAAACCCTAAACCCTCAGCCTGCTCCAAGCAGTCCGTCGTGCCAACGCTCTCGATATCCTGTCAGGTTCATCGCTTGCCCGTTTAGGGTTTAGGGTTTAGGGTGTAGGGTTCTTGTGGGTAGTTCTCTAAATTAGGGTCCCTTTTAGGGTCCTTTTTATAAGGGTGCCGTACTATATTGGGGATCTAAAAAGGGAGCCTAATTTAGAGAACACCCTTGTTGCTTGCTGAAGGTTGTGTTTAGGGCTGAACGGTTTCAGGGTTTATGGTAACGGTTCAGGGCTTTACGGTTTCAGGATTTGGGTTAAGGTTTTGGGACTTGGAGGCCTCGCACGCGGCATAGAGTTTGCGGCCTCTGGTTCTGGACCTGATACAGAGGGTGTTACCCTAAACCCTAAACCCTATAGACCCTAAACCCTAAACCCTAAACTGTTGAGTATCCTACATCATAGGGTCTCGGGCCTATGTGTTTCATGGGCTTCTCGGGTTAGCCAATCCTTAATGGGTCGAAACCGACAACGTGCCGCGCCAAACCCAAAAACCTAAACCTAGTA